GTCTCTACCCGGCTCATATCAAAGAGCAGCAGGTGTGGGTTATCAGGGAAACATGCATGGTGCCGTTTTTCAGAGACTACCCCCAGCACCTCAGCTAGACCCGTATACATTGCTTAAGGCCAATTGAGAGGATAAAGAGAAGTCCTAGCCAGCTCTGTACATGTCAATACAAGGAAATAGGGTCATGCTCAGCCAAAATGGAAAGGATCACTCACTCTTTCAAGGAAAGCTGCTCAGGTGATCCTCCATGTGTCCTCCATAAGATACAACATGGGACTGTGGTTTTATATCCTGGCTGCTTGAGTCTGGATGAGGAAGTAGTTGAGTTGGCAGAACACAGCCTTTTTTCAAGCTATAGCACTTCTGTCAAGAATTGTCTTTAAAAAGTCAAAAACTATTACATGGTGTGTTTTGAGGGTTTGTTTTGTTTTTAGACAGGGCCCCCCTTTGCAGCCCAGGTTGTCCTCAAACTCAGCATCTCAGCCTCCCAAGTGCTAAGATTATAGGTATGTGCCACCACATCCACCTGATTTTTCTGTTCTGTTTCTAAAAGGACTTCACCAGCAGTTGGAATTTGTAAAGGATTATTTTCTTTTCTTGGTGATGTTAGACTAACTGAATGCTTACGTGTCAGATAATAAAATGATTTCCCTCTATATAACTACCATTATAGAGTGTGGGGTCAGTGATAGAGCACTTGCTTAACATGCCTAAGGCCTTCCTGGATTCAGTTCCTAGCACTGCAAAGAAGGAAGGAAGGAAAAGGTGTACAAGTGAGCCATTTCACCTCTAAGAGTGGCCTCCTAGTGTTCCACACAGAAAAATTGTTTTTTTAAGGCTGAGTGAGAATGTTCTTATAGTAGTCCTTCTGGGCCCTTGAGAGTTTCCCAAACCCCAGAGAGCCATTCTTCTGTCTTGCTTCAATGCTGGTCAGAAACTCGCAGGCACAACTGCTTTGTGTGCCTGGTTGGAGAAAGGTGTAACCTACTCAGGTCTTGTTCTTTGGTAATTCCAACTGAAGAAGTGCTTTTTTGACTAGGTTTCAGTACTGACTAAGCTTATCATTGGATTTTAAGCCAGAAAGAAACACAGACATAACTTTTTAAGAATAAATTGAGGGGGCTGGTGAGATGGCTCAGTGGTCTAAAGCACCTACTTAGAACAAGATAAGCTAAGCAAAGCACAGGGACCGCAGTTCAATCCCCCAGCACCACATGCCAGCCA